CACCAAACCTGAAGAACCAGTTTACCTGCACCTAGCCTTTCCATCTAGCCTCTTGTTCCATCCAAAGTCCAACCCCCTTGTAGTCCTCCTTCCTCCCATCACCCATCCCCCTGCATAATCACAGTATCACCCTCTTTGGTGAATCCTTTCCACCCACATTGAAAACATGCCAAGTCTTTCCCAACTGGAAAAAAGACACAGATGGTGGGAAAGGGTGTTTCCCTTGGTCCTGCTTCCTCCCATTTCAGCTCACCCTCTATTTTCCTCCTCCCTTCAAAACCTAAATTCTTTGTCATTATATTGTATACCTAAAATGTACCAATTATTAGAATGAATAATCGATAATGTAAAATAGGAATAAAAGGTCCAAAGGGGTAGCGGTAGTGGGAGGGGCAGGGGAAAGGAAAGAAGGGAAAGGAAAAAATGATGAGAAATGGAAAAAATGGAAATAAAGTCTTTGTAAATAGGGAAGGGTGGAGGGCATGAAGGGAGGGCTAGGAATGGGGAAAAAATGAGAACCAAGATGCGTTATATAAAGGTACAATTCCCATTGAGAAATGTAATTGTGTTGTATATCTACAATGTACCAATAAAAGAATTTAATACAAAAAAAAAACAAACCTAAATTCTTGGGCCTGGGATTTAGCTCAGTGGTGCTACTGCCTGCCTCGCAAGCACAAGGTCCCAAGTTTGATCCCCAGTTCAAAAAACAAACCCTAATTTTTCAGCCAGACATGGTGGTGTGTGCCTGTTGTCCTAGCACTTGGGAAGCTGAGGCACAAGGACTGGTGTGAGTTCAAGGCCAGCCTGAACTACATGTAAAGACCTTGTCTCCAAAAACAAAACAAAAAAATAGAAAAGAAAGAAAATTTCTCAAAGGGGTTCCTCACCCTCCAGCCTCCACTTCTGCTGAAGCACCCAGTGCCCCCTGTTGTTAAGCTCTGAGGACTGCCAGATGCTGTGCAAAAAGGACCCTCCTTTTCTTGCTCTCTCCTGGATCACCTCCCCTTCTCCTGATGCTCCTCTCAGCACCTCATCCTCCAAGATGATGCTCCCCCAAGTCCTGCTCTTGGCCTTTTCCCATCCTGTACCTTCTACCTGGAGCCCTCATCTTCTCCTATGGCTTCCTTTGCAACCTACCTGCCAGTGATCCCTCACTAGATAGCTCACCCCACCTGATCTTCCTTCCAAGGTGCAGAAGCATCATCAAACTCCCACCCGAGACATCAATGTGTGACATCATCCAGGCCCCTCAGACCCAACATTTTGAAACTTAAGTTCATACACATGTGTGTACACACATCACCTTTGCCCACCAAATCTGCCCTCTTCTTGTCCCTAGGAATGGCACCATCATTCATTTCCACTCTAGTAACAATATAAGATGTGGTTTACACCAAGGTTCATAGCCCTGTCAGAGGAGGGCCCCTGTGGAGGCTGTTCCTTCCTGCTGCAGGCCCACCAAATAACTTTTACTTTGAAATAAGCAAAACAGACTAAAAGAACCAGATGTAGCAGCTTCCAAGAATCTCCCACCATGAAGCTCTACAAATTGAGTGCCCAAGCATCCCACACCCGGACATTGAAAGGTTCCTTTCATAATTGCCTTCAGAATAAAGCAAAGCCTTTGGCATGATCACAAAGATCTATGTGAAATTCCCAATCTACCTCCACCCTCATCCTCTTTATTCTGGCCTCCCTCTTATCATTCCACAAGTGTTGTGTAACTGACTCAAGCATAAACTATGGCTCCAAAGGCAAATTAAAGTCTTAAACAAATAGTACCCTTTCCAGCCTCTGTGCCAGTGCCCAGGTAGCCTCTTCTGTCTTTGCTCCTGCACTTACACAAGCTGTTGCTTCCCCACCTGTTGGGGCTCATCTAAATATCACCTCCCTGGACCTTGCCTGATTACCAAGCTAAAGGCTCCCTTCTCTAGACCCCAAAATTTGTAAATCTGTGCTGTGTTAACCCATCTCTCTCTCAGAAACAGTTCCTCTAGGGCACTCTGTTTGCCTTGTTTCTACAACCTCTGATTTCAGCACAAGGCCAAACATGGACTTGTTTATCAGACAATGCTAGTTAATTGGGAAAACAAAAAACCAAAGATTAGATGGATTTGAGAGACTAGGTTGGTATGAGAGGAAAGAAAACGACAAAGCAAACAAATGTCTCAGGGTGTTTTGCATCAAGAATTTCTCCACAATGGTTTAGTGTTTGACACCTATCTGTCCAGCACCTTGCCTATTGATTATTCTTATAACTCTAAACCAGCAAGGTAAAGATGATTACTGTATCTGCATTTTGTCAATAAAGAAATGGAAGCACAGAGAGAGAGAATGACCTATTGATGTTTGCTCAATAAATTTATCCAGAGTCCTTACTATCCAACACAAGATCAAAAGACTATTCCAGGGCCGGGGATTTAGCTCAGTGGTTTCGTCGCCTACTTCGAAAGTGCAAGGACCCAAGTTCGATCCCCGGTACCAAAAAAGACTATTCCAGCAATGGGTAAGGCCATGGATGAAGCCTCAGGGATCTCAGAGGATCACCTTTTCTTGGGCTGGGAAATGGTGCTTCCCCTACATACAAACGGGGGGTGGGGGGAGGAGAGATACAGAGACAGAAGGAAATCAAATGTGCCTGCCCCAACCTTAGGTCAAAAATGAGGACACTGTGTGTGCACAGTCCTTCTTTGGCCCCAGAATGGAATGAGAACACTATGAGAATAGGACATGCCCTTGCCACAAGGGGACACACTCTGCAAGTTGAGTAGGATGACAGGATGATGCTACCAGGGTTTCCAGGCTAATTAAAGACCAAGAAGGGAGAAATTAATCCTGATGAACAGCTCTTCCACACCCTGAAGACCTTTACCCACCAATCCTCTTTCTTCCCTTCTGATTTCCATCTGCACTGGGCATCCAAATCAAATCTGTACTCACTTGTTATGACCTGATTATGTCCTGAATTAAAATGCACACAACCTGGGCACAGCCTTGATTCAATTACTGAATCATTATGTGGCTTTAGGTAAATCCTTTGTACCCTTTAAGCCCCAACCTCCTCATATTTACATTAAGAACACTAATCCACATTCTTCCCTCCCCATTTCTCAGGTTCAGGTGTGGACCCAACCAAAAGCACAAGTGCCAAGCCATGGAAGAATGCAGTAATGTTGTACTTGTGATGGTTCCCTAGGCAACTTTTCTGGTGCTTAAGAGTAGCCACCCTTCTCATCTTAACTGTTGCCAAGCCAAAGCATTTCAGATAGTTGTGTTGAAGCCAAGAGGCCAAGGTGAGGCTGTGTTTTAGTCCCTCCACACAGTTCCAAAGTAAAGGTGCAGGCTTCCCTGTAGGAAACAGGGCAGTCTACTCCAGCATGGAATTGTGGGGAGATCAAGATCCCTGCCCTAGGGAAGCCCACTGGCTGAGAACAAAACCAACTCTGATTGAAGCAGGTAGAAGTGGAGGGGGTAAAGAAGAAGGGGATTGAAAGTCTCCCAAATGCTTCTCATACTCATTAAGGTCACCTTTCAGCCTCCCTGTGACTCCCCTTCTCTACTGAACAAAGACTCTCCCAAACTTCCTGACCTCTCCATATATCTTCTATGTCACTCTCTCTCCTCTGTGGATACCCCTCCTTATTCTCCAGCACTCCTCATTGGCTCTTTTGGCCATGTGTGATCTGTGTCAAGCTTTGTGCTGGACCCTGAAGGCACAGGAATGAATCAAACCAGATCTCCATCCTCCAGAGGTCACAGACTGGTATAGAAGATTGATAAGTGTTGAGATGAAAAGAATGGAGCTAATATGGAATCCTGAGAGCCACTTCCCCAGCCTGGGCACAGGGAAGGCTCTAATGTATGTTTTCTCCTCCAGACAGTGAGCTCCTTGAGAGTCCAGGCAGGGTATGATTCTCTCTCCAACTTACTTGTTTTTTCCTCAATATTCCCAGGGTGCATATACATTACTACACTATCCCCAAAGGATTATCCCTTGGACCAAGAATAAAACTACAGATCAGTCCCATGTCCCATGTCAACCACAGAAGAGAGGCAATTCCCCAGATTGAGAATGGGAAAAGTGGATTCAGGAAGTAGGAGCAGGAACTGTGCCTCTCTCTGAGCCTTAGTAGCTGGCATCTATACCTGGGTTCACGAACTTGGGCTCAGATTAAAACACATGGGGAGGTTTTTTTTAACTCAGGCTCCTGGTCTATTCTTTTTTTTTTTTTTTTTTTTTTGGTACTGGGGATCAAACTCAGGTCCTTGCGCCTAGTCTATTCTTAACAATTTAGAACTTCCAGGCACTGGAGGCCCAGGAATTTATTTCTCCCAGTTGGCTCCAGTTCCTTGCCCTAAGTCAGAGACTACTGACCTAGGTCCCCATGACAGGAGACATTCCTGAGGGTGGGTGTTAAAATGGTCCCTACCAAGTTGTAGTAACAGGAAGACAAGCAAGGATCTGAACCCAGGAAAATGTCATGGCTCCTGAGCCACCCAGAAGTATGGCAAAGAAAACCTCCCCCTTCGGGGATACCAGCGTCTCAGACACTCTGGGAGATCTGTGTGGCAGTATTTATCTCTGCCTTCACTTTCATTTTCCACCTGAGAAATGGAAATGTTTATACCACAGAGAGGAAAGAGGATGCTTATGACACTAAATGTAATTCCCTAGTCCTATAGGACTATCAGGGCTTTGGGTTTTCCCCTGTGTGGTCACTGAGCCTTTGGTCCAAACTTCTCTGAACTTTGGGCCTCAGAATGATGGGAAGGAATCTGACCTGTTTGGGCACCAACTTTGCTGTGCTCACTGCTTCTGACACCAGCTTCAAAGGCAGGAGTGAGGAAGCAGTCCCAGAGAGAAAGCTGATAGGAATCATGGTTCCAGGGATATGGGCCACTACCCAAGCTGATGGTATCCCTCCACAGACCCCAGAGGATTAGGCCTGATTCTCTGAAGGAAAAGCCAATTCCTTTCTCCACCATTCCCCACGTACCTCGAGGGCATGCCCAAACAGCCAATGGGTGGGGGGCCCTGGGAAGTTGTCCATGGCTCTGGCCAACTTGTGCCTCCGTAGCAGCAGGCAAAGAACCTTGAGGGCACCTATGACCAAGGTCACTCCAGAAGCCCACAGGATCAGGCGGGAGAGGCTCAGGGAGAGGAAATTGAGCACCATGACTAGCGTTGCAGTGCCTGAGCTCTGACAAGGCTCCAACTACCCTGAGATTCCCTTATACTCTAGACCTAGGCACCCTGCCAGTTCCCACCCCCAGCCACACCCTACAGCCAGCAGCAGGCCAGGCTGGGCTGAGCGCCGTAGGGAGGAGACAACAATCTCAAAAGTAATAAACAACTGAGGAGGGAGCCAAGCAAACTTCTCCCACAACTTGCCTGAAGAGAAGTCTGGTACAGTGCTTCAAAGAAACCAGAGATAGCATCTCACTTTGGTTCCTTGGAGGAGCAAATAGACAGCAATTCCTGGGATAATCATTGGCATAACACCTGCCTTTTCCTACACACACCTTGTATGTTTCAAGGAGTTTTTCTTTTTAGTTTTTGAAAATTGAACCCATGGACTTTGCCTCTCAGAGTGCAGGTACAATGAGGAGATCACTCTTTTTTATTTTTTTTTTTGACTTTGAATTCTTTTATTGGTACATTTTAGGTACACAATACAATTACATTTCTC